AGAAGCAAATGGAGCGGCAGAGGCAGGCCTACCGATTCGTAAACCGATCGCGCGGAGAGGGGAGGGGAGGCGGCGCGATTCTATGCGACGTGACTCGACGCGGCGCGATGTGCTGCGACGCGACACGACGCGACACGAGGCGACACGACGCGACGCGACGCGAGGCACGTGACGAACAGCTAACGGTGATTCGGTTAACCGTGTCCATAGAGGACTAGATAGCGTGTCCCGAGGAGTCGATCGTAAGCAAATTGGGTAGAGCACCGGTGCAGGGTGCATCATGCTCAAGAGAATGGGAGGGACGGGGAAAGACGGTGTGGAAAGAGAAGAGAACGAGGGGACGGTACGTCACTTCCGGTCCATTAAGAGCAACACGGGGGGGTTCGCTGGTGTTGCGCGCAGGGAGCTAATTATAAGAAAGACAGAGGCTCTCATTCCGCCGCGGCGATGGGACCATCGTGATACTACACACCCTTAATTATCACCGTAAATATTCCACCCTTTATCAGCAACGCTTGCAAGGGACGCGAGTCTCCGGACATCCTGTTCTCTCGGCGAACACAAATTGCACGGCGCTGTTGTTATTGTTATTTACGTTGTGGAGAAATTAGCATGGCGGCACAACAAGAACGGGGTACGCGCATCAAATATTATCGAGGTTATTCGCATAATTTCGCGATATCTCGCCTCGGATCTTTCGTTGTAGAATAATGGACGATTTTGTCGTCGATCGTCGACGATTATAAAAACGAGATTCGAGGCTCGAATAATCGTATTTTCTTTTCACAAATTGTCCATTTTGGGGAACAATCTGAGCGCGAATTAGTGAGAATTTGGGAAGAAGGGATGCGATTATTCGATTATTATTATTATACGATTATTATTATACGATTATTGCGACTCATTTTTATAGTTGCCAATTATCAACAACTATAAAAATGAGGCGCAAGGCTCAAATAGTCGTAAATTCCCAAATTATCTATTTTTAATTAGAGAGAATTTCAGAAGGGATACGATTATCCATTTTTATGCGCAGTCTGAGCGCGAATTAATGAGAATTTACTGTATTATGTTTTGTTCGGAAAGCTCGTTTCAAATATTTTATATGAATTTAATGAAACGAATTCTAAATGAATTATAAAACGAACTTTCAGAACAATTTACTATACTGTTTGTTCGGAAGCAATTATATATATATATATATATATGAATTAGTGAGAATTTACTGTATTATGTTTCGTTCAGGAAGCTCGTTTCGAATATTTTATATGAATTTAATGAGATGAATCCTAAATGAATTATAAAACGAACTTTCCGAACAATCTACTATACAGTTTGTTCGGATGCAATTTATTAGGTTGCTCGGAGAGTTCGTTTCACATTTCACGGAGACCGTTTCATCGAATTCATGATCGAATTGAAACGAACTTTCCGTACGACCTAACACCTTACGTAAAGAAAGCAATTTTAAATCAGCGCACGTTGTTGCAACGAGACGGAAAAATAATTAAGAACCCATGACTTTCTCCGTTAGAATTTTTTCATACTCCGTGGAAGCACTGCAACGATCAACACAATTACAGCGAAAGTAATTGCGATTTACCAGACTATAACGAACGTCCTGATTAACAAAAACCACGATCGGATAGAAATTTAATGTTTTCTATCGCGATCTTCGTTGCCGCGACAGCAACGTAAGAACTGTTTCAAGTTTCTATCGGGTATTTCTTGCGGACAGAGGCGCAGAGCCGGCGATCGGACGGGAACAGCCGAGCAGTGCATCTTTCGAAGCCGATTCGAAGGTTTTGTTTTTAACCTTTTAGGTACGGCTGAATTCTGCGCGAGACTATTTCTCTGGACGGCAGAGTCTGATGTGTACTGTACAGAGTCTGATACTGTATATACAGGGTGTCCCAAAAATGTCTCGCAATCCGAAAGTGACGGGTTCCTCTGGCCATTTGAAGCAACTTTTTCCTTTACAAAAATGTTCTCCGAGGCCCCGTTAACGAGTTATTAACGAAAAACAGTGACCAATGAGTGGCGAGCTCAGCTGGAGCGAGGCGATCGAGCCAATGAGCGGAACTGGGCTTCGCGCGCTGGTTGGCTGGGCCGCCTCGCGTCAGCCGTACTCGATTCTTATTGGTCACTGTTTTTCGTTAATAACTCGTTAACGGTGCCTCGGAGAACATTTTTGTAAAGGAAGAAGTTGCTTCAAATGATCCGAGGAACCCGCCATTTCCGGGTTGCGAGACATTTTTGGAACACCCTGTAGACTGTTATAAATCGATGCGAAGACAAAAGAAGTGTGAAACAATGCATATGAAGACGATTATTTGGTTCAAACGATGAGCGAGTGAGCTACTAGAGCAAGCCACTATAGTGGCGCGTCGTCCAGAGAGATGACATCCGCGGAAGCCACTATAGTGGCGTGATTAATAAGAGAAACGACTCTCCAACTTTTTGGAGGATTTCCTTCGGCCGAGATTGCTTCGGAATCGTCTTTTGGCACCGCGAAGCGTTTACCAGGAGACGACGGCCTATCCCCTCCGGCGATCAATTCCATAAGAACTTCCGGCCGGCGTCGAATCTCTGGGACTCTTTGTGCCCGTTAATCCCCGAGAATAATCGCGCTTGTTGCTCGGAGAGCTTGCCATCGAGATCGACCGATAGGTCGAACGATAGCGGCTGGGCGAGCCACTCGTTCTGCGCGTCGACGAGCTTCAGCAGATCGCTGGGTTTCATGGAAGCGAATCAAACGGGACAAGACGAGACGAAATAAGGCGGAACGAGGCGAGACTACAGTCTATCCAACGTGATAAGAGAGTAGTTCGGACTTTAGAATTCCTTGACTCTTAACAATCTCTTCCTTTAAAAATCCACAGTCTATAACCAAACTTTTTATATTAATATCCATTTTATCTTGAACGATGCGTAATTTTGCAGTTCTATTACATTTGGGTTTTATCATAGCGAATATTCCATAGTGAATAAATAAATAAATAAATTCTCCTGACAAACGTAGACGCAATTTTTGTTTCTTGCACGTCCACGTTTACATTAATTCCGAGATTTCCGTAACGGAAGAATCGAATTTTCTTGCAATTTAGAAGACACGAATGTTCATTGTATGACCGTGACTTCTAACATCTAAGAGAACTGTCTTATGAAATATTTGCAGAACATTTTCTAGAACCGCTTTATCGGCAGTGAACCTTCGCCGCAGTTTGCATCACGCCATATAACATTTACATAGCAAATACTAACAGAAGAATTTGCAGTTAGCAAATTTTATTTATTGGGTTGGCAACTAAGTAATTGCCGATTTCAGTTATAGATGTCTCTCACTCCCATTTTTATGATATCCGTAAATGTTATATTATAAAATTATTATTATTATTATGTTATTTTTTATTATCCGTGAATGTTAGCAACT